TTTTTTTTGTTATGCAAAATGAAATTTGGTTTCCAAGACAGCTTCTACTCTCCTTCTAATCCTAGTTATTTATTAAGGTTGACAACAGTCTATTTACCATATCTTGAGTTCTAGCTGTAAGACTGTCTCCAGTATGCCCATCCTTCAATTGTCTCTCTTCCAAGACAGGTGTGTGCCAATAAAGTAACCACAGGGAATAGACTAGCCATGTCATAGGTGAGCACCTCTCTGAGGTGTCAATACAGAATAGATGCACTGACAACTAACATTCACTTTCCTATTTCTGAGATTGCAAAGAAAAATTCCTCAAATGCCTTACAGAAAAATATTACCTTTATAGAACTAATCTAAAATTGCTAGGAAGTACATATCATGCTATCTGGTAAGTACAAGAGGTAGTTTATAACAATCTCTAAGGTTTAGCAAGAATTTGAATAGTATGTTGATCAAAATTTCAAATAGTCTTCTTGATAATTAAAAATCTTCCACGTACACTGAAGACTGGCAGTAAGGGAACATAAACAGACTTTCAAGACCAAGACAGGGAATATCAATCCATCTGTATAAGTATCTGCGATTGTCAGAATAATTTGAAGACCTCATGGGGTTAAGGAGATTAAGTGGAGGATTTTCATTGTTTCAGAGGGTCAAGAGGTAAATCCACTGCTAATTCTTTAATGATGAAAATTGTACGTTATTAAACTCCTTCTGAGATTTTAAATATTTATATGTATAATGTATTTATAAATTTTTATATAGTGTTTATGTGTATACACACATATATCAAAAAAGAGAGAAAAATACTAGTAGAGCACAATAATCCTAGGTTAACTAAAATAAATGATTAAAGGTTAAAAGAAAGAAGAGCCCAGAATAATTAGGAGGTGCCTGGACAACATAAAAATAGATTTATAGATGAGAGCAATAGAGTCTGAACATAAAAGGGTGTTCAGAAAAAAATAATTTGTTGCATCTGAAATTCAAAGCATTTCCTTTTGGCTACACAAAAAAGTTTTGATAAAACCCGTTATATATCTTTCTGAAAGGTAAATATGTTATAGAGAAGTAGAAGGGTGTAAGAAAAATCTGTTCTATCATGTCTGGGCATTAGAATTTTGCTTAATAATTTGCCAAAATATTCTGTAACCAAGAGCTATGGCATTATGTGTGTACCCAATTAAAGCAATTTTTATTTGGTTTGTCTCCTAACTTAAATTCAGATGACATATAAACCACCACTGAAAGGGGGTTAAAATAAAAATATCTCATTGCCAGACTTCATGAGTAACAACCAGGGTATTCAACTTAAAAAAAAAAATTCACCAAGATTTGTTTTGATCAAATTTAAATGTTTATTGAGTATTAGCCTTTTTTAGGCACATGATATGTGCCATGGTGCATATTAAGTATTTTATTTCTTCAATGTAAGTTAAGATAGAATTTATAGTCCTTAAAAGCAAATTCAAAGGTTTTTAATAATCATACTAGCAGAGTAAGAAGAAGGGAGGAAAAAATGCATGTGTGTGAATGTATAGATGCATATATACCCATGTAAAATATTAAAACAGATGTAGATCAGCCTTTATCATCTTAAAAAATAATCAACAATAGGTGTCAATAATGAAGTAACTATATTCCTGTCTTGAGGTACTCATTACTTCCAGTGTACTACACTTTACTGCATTAAATCAATGAAGCTGCTGTGTGAAAAGTCACCTTTCTTGACCCCCGAAAAAATAGCAGCTCATTTCAGGTGAAGGACATGGACCATTGGGAAGTTTGATGTTTTCTCCCGCTCGTCCAAACTGAATAATCGTTAGTTTTTAGTACTGGTTCACAACACTTCTGAGCCAGGTGTTATGTTCTACTACCCTCCTACAGATTCCATATGCCTTACCATCCACAGCCAATGACACCGTGTCTTGCGTGTCCTCGATCCCGTACATGACGTCACAGCGGTAGAAGCCCGCGTCACTTGCACGCAGCTTGGCCAGGGTGAGCGAGGCATCTCCCACGTCTTCGGAATGTGTAGGCACCGACACCCTCCCTCTATAGCCCTGACCAATCTTGATATTCCCATTTTGGGCCACAAGAACAGTGGTTTCCTTCAAATCTTTTCCACTCTTGTCCAATTCAATCTTAGACCATTTGATTCGGAGAAATTCACTGGTAGTATTGTAACTGGGTGGTAATGTAGGCATGGTTGAAAAATGACAAGGTAGGTTGACTTTTGCAGAAAGGGAGCCCTTAACAGGTGGGCTTTTTTCCATTTGGTCTAGAAAAAAGAGAAATACCACATTAACACTCCTAAAAAGCCCAGACTGAGAGTGTTAAATGCAAGAATGGTATGACCCCCACAGTGGTTCAGTCACACCTCCAGCATGTGAAAAAATTGTAAAGATTTTATATTCAGAGAATAGGATATAATTTCAGTAATGTTCTATAATAAAGACAAGGATTAATAATGCTCATTGTTATGTATTTAAAATACAGCATTCACTTTAAAGAATTTGTTACTTAGTGTTTAACATGAACAACAATAAGTGATAAAATAAAGCAAGTACAGGAAGGCAAGCAATCAAAGACGAAAGGAGACTATAATCAGCAATGCAGGTTTAAAAGACTGCAACTGATGTTAGGAAGAGTGGTTGAAAGGCAAATTTATGTCTACAGGTCAGAAGATGAAAACATTTGTTAAGGAAACTACCACATTACCTCAGAGGAAATGAAAATAAAATTCAAAGAGGAAGTGAAAATAAAAAAGTACTTCAGTAGACTGGAGCAGGGGAAGACTAACAGTTGAAGGACCCTCTTTAGGTTCAGTGTTTGAACCAAAGGCTTTAATCATAATGACAAATCCAGCTGCAATCGCTTTGCAGTGAAACATTACCTCTCGATTATATCCTGGGGGGAAAGTTAGCATCTGTTTGCCTAACCCTTCTAAAGTATTAATCTGCAGAATATCTTTCTGTTTAAGCCCTTAAACTTCTAATGAGAAAGAATGGGGTGACTGCAATTTAACACTGTTACTGTAACATGAAAAAAAAAATGTCTTTCATTCCTATAGGAATCCATACCCCTCCCCTTCCTCTTTCCCCCATTTTCCAGTCTCCACAAATCATCAATACAATGTGTTGGTAATAACAATAGGAATTATTAATACACAGGCAACTCCCACCTGATAAAATCTGGTCAACAATAGTAGCCTCTAGGTAGAGTGAAATAATGAATCTTAAGTAACAAAATGATGTGTATCTAATACTTAATGTGTTAGTGGCCAAAGGTAGTGATGACACACATCTCGATGTGAACACGCATCAGAAATGACACAGTTGTCAATGTACCCCTGTGGGTTCAGTTGTGGATAAGTCATTTTGAAAATTACAGGAAGATATGGAGATATTATGCTGCTTAAGAAAAAAATACTCTTTTGCTAAAGATTGAAATTTAATTCAAAAAGTCTGGCCTGTATAATCTTTCCTATGATACAAATAAATGTAAATAATACACTATTGTATTTACTGTATTTATCATAGAATCACTAATCTATTCCAAATTCATGTTATTCGTTGCTGTCTTGTGTTTATCATTTTACTATTACACCTTGTCCAAAACAGGACTGAAGGCACATGACAAGACTCAATGAAAATAAAATGAAGTGTACTGTTAGCTGTACTGTTAATCCTTAAAATGTTACTAAGACTATGAGGATCTTGAAATGTAAGAGCAAGAGAAAAATTCCATTTTTTATAGACTCCCTGTCTTACAAAATAAATGATCATACTCAGAGTGAAACTGGTCCAATCCTGTACTAAGGACACCCCCGCAAGAGGAAGTGACAGCCAGGCTCCCAGCTGGCTTGTGGCAGACCTGTGACGGGAGACAGGTCACCGTATACCTACTCAGGGAATTGTTCAAGTTTGGGTATTTATTGGATTCTTCCCCTGTCCCTAAATGGTTTTAGTTCCTTTTCAGAGTCTAGGTCCATCCTATACTATTTCTTTAATCATTATCTGAAAACTGCTAGTAATTTCATGTTTCTAAAATAAATATATAAAGCCTACAGGGAACTCCCAGAGAGTGACCCCTACCATTTCACAGTCCTTTCATTTGGAACATATTACAAGAGAGGAAAAGAACAGAACAAAATTTTTTTTTTTTGCCAAAAACAGGGGTCCTGAGAAGGGAAAGGGTGATAATTTTATGATCTAAAAATCTCCTAATTTACATTAATCTCCTAATGTTCTCTGGAATCTCATCTTCCTTCCTGAGTAATTATTTAGATGGTTAACTTCACCACAGATAAAGTATTGCTACTTAAACAGCTTTATCTGAATCAACCTCAATTATAATATTCTTTATCATCTTTTTTATGAGATTCTTTATCATTTCCTAAAAATGAGTTTTAAAAAAAGGATGTCTAATTCCTTTTATTACTAAATTATAGTTCTTCTCACACTTTTAGATATATAGGGGTAGATATGAGATTCACCCAATTTATTCAGTCAGGAGGTTTTCAAAACTTAGAGCATTGCTCAATCACTGTGCTGTAGTGCAAAGCTGTATTAGAACAAAATGATGTTAAAAGGCAAATTTCCCAAGGGTTATTTATCATTCTGAGTGTTTATAGATAGAATAAAATTAAAAGCTTCAGTTGGATATAAGTATATATTCATGTAGAATCTAGTCTTAACAACAAGATTAACAAAAAGCTGTGTGGTCAAGTCTGTTGTGTATGAATTCTTCAGCCTTAATGCATTGGGTCACAATAACTAATTTCAGTAAATCTAAATATTTTAAGAAATAAATGCAGTAGTTCAGAGGATAATGTTTATAGACTAAGCATTTTTTTTTTTACAAAAAATCCCTGTTACCTGCAAGAACTTGTCTGAAACTCTGACAATATAAGTAATAAAAATGAATTCTAACAAAAAGTTTACTGTTCCCACCAGATGATTTGTAGTCTGAACGAGTATAATAAGGGAGAAATCTCTAAATAATGAATGAATGATCAGTTACCTTTCATTCTCTGTCAATAAATTCTGTGAAGGAAGGGTGATGTAAATTTCATCTATACAATTAGACCAACACATACACAGACCTCAGCCAAATACATGTCAGATTGAGAATATGGGAATTCATCACTCTCTAGGGTGATAAGTATCAATCTCTGGTTCATACATTTACTCATGATTATGCATAACTCCATTTATTAATACTAGAGGAATAGCCAAATAACTAGGTCAACATTAGGTAACCAGCATAATGAGTAATGTTAATACAAAGAGCTCTTCATGCATTAAAACAAGCCAGTAAACAGTAGACAAGGTGTTGGTTTATGTTAGTAATTGTCCTTTTGATTGCCTAGGGTTAAACCTATTGACAACAACCTTATGACAAACACACTTGAATTTGCTCACAAGTGATCACTGTGTGTCTCACTATGAACTTGGCAAATTTGTGTTTATGTGGATCTTCAACTTTTGCCCCTCATGTAAAAATAAAGTTCTTCTGAAATTAGTCCCAGACTAATTACATCCCATGATTGTGATCATAGATTTACAAAGAACTTGATTCTTGGAGTAAAGTATACTGCAGTGGTTAAGAGCATGAACTATGGAGCCCGAGTGCCCAGGCTCAACTGCAGGCTCCATCACTGGGTTTCTGTATGGCCTTCTCCACTAGCTACGCCTCCAAACCTTTCGGTACAGTCGTTTCCTCCTCTGCCAAATGGGGAGAGAAACATCCGCCTCATTGGTGTAGAGATTAAATAAACTATATGAAATACTTAAAGCCTAACACATATAAATTACTCAGAATTGTTAGCTATTATTACTAGTTTAAAATATCATCAAGGAGCTACACCATAAGTAGTTTATTTCCCATTGTTTGTGTGAGTTCTTTCTTTGTTTAAAGTAGAAAGTCTAAACTTTGTTTTCAGTGGAGGGAGGGTTGCTCTGTCCCTCAAGATTCTCCCACTATTTTCTGTAATTCCCTGTCTATGATTACCCACACTAGCCAACTCCTTTTTCTTCTCTCCGTTCTGTGTGCCCCCTCTTCACCGGATGCTGTGGTGCTAGCCTTTCTGTGACCTTCACTTTCACTTCCTGATGATGCCAAAGACCAGCTCCTGGGTGGTTAGCAGGTTGGTGGAGTGTAGACTCTGGCAGCCATCTAGGTCACTCGTATCTCAGTGTAAATGCTACTTTCTCAGAGGCCTTACCAGCTCCCCTTAGTCAGGCCAATCTTCCTGATGACACTCCACCTTATTTTTCATGAATCTGCAAGTATCTAGATAGTTTGTTTGTTGTTTATTGCGCGTCTCATATAACTAGGAGATTAGCTCAATGAAATCCAGAAACAGTGTATGACTCATCCACTGGTACATCCCTGGGCACCCAGAATACCACCTGGCACCCAGAAGGTACCCAGACAATACTGTCAATGGGTAGATAAATGAATGGGTAGAGAGTTGGATGCATGGATGGATGGATGAAGGAACAGATAAGATGGATGGATTGATGGGGTGTTACTAAAGCTTTGAGTCTTGAAGAATGAATTGAAGCAGAATTGTAGAGAACAAGAGAAGGGACTACCAGGCAGATGGAATTAAATGGAAAAAACAGGGAATACAAAAGTCTATGCATGGATTACAAATTATCTGGAGTCTGAAGCATAAAGTGAGTGTGAGAAAGAAATGGAGTGTGAGTCTGCAGAGGCGCACTGGGCAGGAGCAGAGCACTGACACGCACGGTCGCATCGTTCTTACGGACTGCTGTCCACACCCTGGGATCACAGAGCCTTCATTAGGTGGGTACATGACTTAAAGCTAAGAAAAATATTGCATGAGCATTTAACCAGCTACTTTAAAAGAGAGAGAGAGAGAGAGGGAAGGGAAGGAAAAAGGAAAAGAAAGAAAACAGATAGGAAAGGAGAGGAAAGGAAAGAAAGGGAGATGGGAGCAAAACCTTGGCTGTCAGTCATCTCTTTGTCTTGTTGATCTTTCTCAAAATCTAGTCTCCTGAGGGTTTGATAGTCCTTTTTTTAAATAGGAGAGACTTTGAGTAGTACTGAAGAATAAGCCAATGAACCTTTTTGCACAGTTTGAAAGTAATCTGGGAATTTATTGAAAGCCCCCTCGCTGCTTCAGCATCCTCTTCATTATTTTGTTCTGACTGATTTATTAAAAACCAGTTTTTAGCCCAATGATGTTTTAGCTAAAAGTATTCAGCCCTGAATAAATAAAAAATTAATCCTTTATTTTGGTGACTCCATATTGCCATTTGATGTCCCAGGACTTAGATTTTAACTTCTCTTAGCACCAAAGAAATTGTTACCACACTCACCTTTATGTAGTGCATGGGTGGCTATTAAGGTAGAGCACATCCATAAGATGCCCTTTATATTTATCAACATCTTGTCCTAGAAATAAAGAAAAATACAAAGCATATAAGTATTCAGGTTTGTGGAAGGCCATAAATCATAGGCTATTTGTGCACTGTATGCAATGAGAGTACAAGAAGCAGCTCCTCCTGAACTGTAAGAACAAGAGGGAATTTGCAATAGAAGTTGTCCCCACACTCTAATTATTAGTTTGACTCTCAGTCAAAGCAGTAGGTACCAAAATAAGCCCAGAACCCAATTTGGGGATATATCACAATGTGGATATGTGGGACAACCACAACTGGGTAGGCTTTTGCCAGAATAATGAAGACCACAGCCTAAGTAACTAGTGGCTAGGAGCCGGCACAGAGAAGGAGGGGTGACCACAAAGTCTATTTAAGAACAGGAAGCTGGTCATACATGGAGCAAGAGAAGATGGGGAAGAAATAGGAAGAGATGTTGAAAGAAAGGGATTTGCATCAAATGAGGTGGGAAGGAATCCAAGGTGGTTCATTGCACATGGTCTCAAAACAGAGAATAAGGACTTCAATGGGCTTTTAAAAGCGCTGACTCAATTTACTTTCCAGAAGGCTGAACAAACAAAATAAATGTATTATAAGAAGTTGTTAATTCCAAAAAAACACCAGTACTTTTTTGCTATGAGTTTTAAAGCAATTTCAACAGTTCCAAACTCTGAAGGGTAAGGAATGAAAGAGAACACCCTGTTCTGAGAGTCAAAAAGCCCTGCCCTGGCTTTGCCATTAATTTACTGTGTGATTTTGGGAAGACATTTAATAATCTGGGTCTTAGAATGATTCTTTCCAGATTGAATTGCCATGAAGCTGTAACTATGAGGAGGATAAATTTCAGTGTTGGGGACCATCTAGAAATCAAAGCCAATCTTAGCAGAACTACAGAAGATTATTTGATATCCACAGTCGTTACCTTGTCAGCAGTATTTAGAACAATTCTGTAACAGCCATTGTAGATTGGCTACCCAGCAGTCATTGCTTTCTTTTTTCTAATAAAACTCTGATTCCATTCTAGTATCTACCCACCTTCACATAGCCATATACTATAGGGAGACTGGATCAAGGCTCAGCCCCAGGGGACAATCCTGATTATCTTAAGTCAGTTACACTGGTCCCTTTCCATTTGCTAATGATCAGTTTTGGAAAGAGTACAGTTGACCCTTAAGCAGCACAAGTTTGAACTGAACCAGGCTATTGCATGAGCATTTAACCAGTTACTTTAAAAGAGAGAGAGAGAGGGAAGGGAAGGGAAGGGATGGAAAAAGGAAAAAAAAGGAAAACAAAATTACACATGGATTTCAGTAAGTCTATTGGAAAATTTTTTGGAGATTTCAACAATTTGAAAAGTATTTTCTTTTCTCTAGTTTATTGTAAGAAACCAGTATATAATATGTATGACATACAAAACATGCTAAACGACCATTTGTTATTGTTAAGACTTCCAGTCAACAGTAGGCATCAGTAGTTAAGTTTTTGGAGAGTCAAAAGTTATACACGGATTTGTGAGTGTGCAGGAGGTCAGAGCCACTAACCCCTGTGTTGTCAAGAGTCAACTGTATATGATGAGATCTTGGCCAGTGAGATGTAGGAGCATATCTGCAGGGGGTAGAGGGGGTACTCCTGGGAAAGGTATATTCATCTTAAGAAGAGAGTAAAAGGGAGAGATGGTTGCTTTTCTTCACTGGACTCAAACTGTTGTAGCCATAAGTAGTGTACAACTTATGCTTTAAAAAAATTGTCCTGTAACCTATTGCTGAGTGCTTGGAGTCATTACCTGTAAGCTTGTTTTATCTCCTCTGCACAAGAGTAGGCTTCTGGAAAGGAGAGCTAGTATATTCAAGCTACTAATTCCCATAATATTTCCACAGTGCCAGGTTCAGAGAAAACCCTTGAGGAAGGTTTGTGGACCAAATTCATGACAAATGCTTCCACTTCCTACTCAGAAACACACTTTGAGGTGAAATGCTGACAACTTCTTACAAATATGGACAAGAAGCTAATTAATACCTGAAATGCACTTAAATCAGTCCAGTTGAATATTTGCCACAACACAATATTATCTGATGTTGGTCAGTATCTAGAGGGTCAGTTCTCATAACCAAACCAGAGAAAAAGTGTGGTCCTGGCCCAGAAATAGTTCTTCTACATCTTGTTTCCTATCCAAGACCAATACTGAAAGTCTAACTAACTCTTTGTGCCATACTTCATTCTCAAAAAAGTTTCTTTCTCTCCTTTTTGAAGAATAGTGGCAAGTGGTTTTTCTCTGTCTATATAGCAAGTATAATCATCACTTGCCTTAAGACTGCCCCTAAGACAAGAGTAGGGAAGGAAGCCAGTGCATTAAAAATATACCATCAGCCATGTTTTAAATATGTTAGTATAAATATGTTTGAATAAGTTGTCAACATATAAAAATTGGGGTTTTCACACTAAGTCTCAGACCTCTGACTTGTTATGGAACATCACGACAAGCAGCTCTAGGCCCACATTCTTACTGGCCCATTATCAGCACTGAGCAGGGGAAGCACCTTTGCTCTGTGCACTCGCGGTCGTCACTGACCCCACGTGGCTTCCCATCCGTCTCCTGAGTTTGCAACCCTTGATTTAAAGGTGGATCATTTATCTCTATAGAAAATATCTCAGAGTGCTTTAACTGGCCTTAGCTGCCTCCGAACTACAGCCTCTTCCTTGCAGTCCATCGGCATCACTCTCTTGCTCTATTAAACCTCTGTCATGTTTATGACTGTTAAGACTATTAACACTATTTGCCTCCTGCATTTGATCTTACTAAATCAGACACTTTTTAAAGCCTCTTGTAATGTTTTTAGTGCCACTCCCACCTGCATTTCTATTCTTCTGCTCTTCTGTGACTGTGTTGTTAGCGTAATCTGTTAGTGATAACAAGTCTGTCTGTATAGAAAAACCTGGAGATATGAGAGCCAGTGCCTATATTTAGCCTTCTGCCCCAATGAAGTCAATGAGAAGAGGAGAAAGTCATTGAATAATCAAGGCACAGCTGACTGAGGCTGTTTAATTGCCTGGGAGACACAAGAGCAAGGTCAACAGGACGACCGACTATCCATGAGAAATGACTGCAGAGAGGAAAAGGGTCATGCCAGGGATGGGCTGCCTCCGAGAAAGAAAGAACCACGGTTCCAGGAAACAAATATTTAATATTCTCCCTTGATCCTGGGGAAGCCCCACTGAGCACAGGGTGGCTTAAGGATGCAGAGACTGATTTTGTCTTCCAGTCTTCAAATTAATTACCCTAGACAACCAATTGTCTGGGACACCTCAGCCACAAGGTGGATATAACAAGCAGTGACTGTCAAACGGCTCCTGGTGCTTTTTCCCAGGAGGACTAACTGTGATACAGAGAGAAATGTCATGGTTTAAACACGAAATCTCATGAATTTACTTCACAGAAGCAAGGCATTATGTGAATTTATCACTAACCTGTGACTGGATTCCTTGGCTAAGCTTTTTCATGTCACTGCCCCCTTAGAACTGCTCTGTTCTCCATGTGGAGAATGCCTTCCTCGTTCCTCTATCTAAAACATTGCGCTCTATTCCCTTATGAAATCCAGAAACAGTGTATGACTCATCCACTGGTACATCCCTGGGCACCCAGAATACCACCTGGCACCCAGAAGGTACCCAGACAATACTGTCAATGGGTAGATAAATGAATGGGTAGAGAGTTGGATGCATGGATGGATGGATGAAGGAACAGATAAGATGGATGGATTGATGGGGTGTTACTAAAGCTTTGAGTCTTGAAGAATGAATTGAAGCAGAATTGTAGAGAACAAGAGAAGGGACTACCAGGCAGATGGAATTAAATGGAAAAAACAGGGAATACAAAAGTCTATGCATGGATTACAAATTATCTGGAGTCTGAAGCATAAAGTGAGTGTGAGAAAGAAATGGAGTGTGAGTCTGCAGAGGCGCACTGGGCAGGAGCAGAGCACTGACACGCACGGTCGCATCGTTCTTACGGACTGCTGTCCACACCCTGGGATCACAGAGCCTTCATTAGGTGGGTACATGACTTAAAGCTAAGAAAAATATTGCATGAGCATTTAACCAGCTACTTTAAAAGAGAGAGAGAGAGAGAGGGAAGGAAAGGAAAAAGGAAAAGAAAGAAAACAGATAGGAAAGGAGAGGAAAGGAAAGAAAGGGAGATGGGAGCAAAACCTTGGCTGTCAGTCATCTCTTTGTCTTGTTGATCTTTCTCAAAATCTAGTCTCCTGAGGGTTTGATAGTCCTTTTTTTAAATAGGAGAGACTTTGAGTAGTACTGAAGAATAAGCCAATGAACCTTTTTGCACAGTTTGAAAGTAATCTGGGAATTTATTGAAAGCCCCCTCGCTGCTTCAGCATCCTCTTCATTATTTTGTTCTGACTGATTTATTAAAAACCAGTTTTTAGCCCAATGATGTTTTAGCTAAAAGTATTCAGCCCTGAATAAATAAAAAATTAATCCTTTATTTTGGTGACTCCATATTGCCATTTGATGTCCCAGGACTTAGATTTTAACTTCTCTTAGCACCAAAGAAATTGTTACCACACTCACCTTTATGTAGTGCATGGGTGGCTATTAAGGTAGAGCACATCCATAAGATGCCCTTTATATTTATCAACATCTTGTCCTAGAAATAAAGAAAAATACAAAGCATATAAGTATTCAGGTTTGTGGAAGGCCATAAATCATAGGCTATTTGTGCACTGTATGCAATGAGAGTACAAGAAGCAGCTCCTCCTGAACTGTAAGAACAAGAGGGAATTTGCAATAGAAGTTGTCCCCACACTCTAATTATTAGTTTGACTCTCAGTCAAAGCAGTAGGTACCAAAATAAGCCCAGAACCCAATTTGGGGATATATCACAATGTGGATATGTGGGACAACCACAACTGGGTAGGCTTTTGCCAGAATAATGAAGACCACAGCCTAAGTAACTAGTGGCTAGGAGCCGGCACAGAGAAGGAGGGGTGACCACAAAGTCTATTTAAGA